AGAGTAAACTAAACCGACAAAAAAAAAAATAAAAAAGAAAGAGGCTTCAATCAATAAATAAATAAAATATCTTCATGAAATCTATACAATTAATGTCCATTGTGATAAAAGTGGAAAACATCACGATCCAGGAAAAAATGAAAAATATATATATATATATATATATATATATATAAAAAAAAACAACAACAAAATGAAACAACAACAACTACAAAAAGAAAACAACAAAAACAAAAAGAAAACAAAGCAAATAAAAGGTCTGGTAGGAGCCCAAAAGAAAAAAAGTTCTTTAAGAATAGCAAAGGGCCTAAAGTGCTATTACCATGAGACTAAAATGTCCTTGTGGATTAGTGTAAGGTTGTCATAATAGTTGGGAAGGATTTACCAGATGAAAAAAAAATGGCTTGATTTGTTGCAGTGTGAGTAAGATGAGTAAATGAACAAGAGAAGTTATGTGAGAAAAAAAAAGAAAGGAAAAAAAAGGAAAGTAAGAAGAGTTAGAAGGAGATGAAAGGGAGAAGAGGAGAAAGAGTGAGCAAGAGGTTTAAAGAGAAGTAGAATAAGAAAGAAGATCCTGGGAATTATAAAAAAATATACTCTTAGGGACCTAATAGACAGGGTGGAGATTTTAATAATTTGTGGGTATTTGTGAGAAAATGAAATAAAACTAAATAATAAAATATTAATAAAGAAGAAAAAAAAGTAAAAATAAAATTAATTTTCCCATGATGCAAGTGATAAAGGAACCGGAAAGGTATTTTCATCACTTGCACGATTTTATGACCTCACTTCCGGAAAAGAAAGAATCATTCTCTTTTCCACTTTCCAGCAACAGCATTCAGACATGTTTAGGCAGGCTCAGTTAAGTTAGTAAATTGGTTGTTCCAACTCAGCACAAAGCTGACTTGAGCTTGACCATTTTAACCATTATTATCCTAACTTACTTCTGAACTAAAAAGGAAAACAGACATACTTAGGAGACATTGCAAAGTTTGTTTCACTACAATTACCATACAAAGAATAAATGTCCATAGTAGAAACCCAAGCTTTTGTAAGCTTCTTTATTTATCATATGTGAACACACACACACCTAAAATACATACACACACCGAAAATACACACAAGCTTTTAAATTCCATGTATTAGATATTTTTCTCAATATGCAGTAAAATGGGGTCTTAATAAAAGCTGGGTCAGAAAATCATTTAAAGGGTCAAAAAGTGTTATATGAACATTAGTTAGGAGTCAGAAAATTCCACAAAAATTATAAGTAAACATCCCCTTCCCACTTTTATGATATGCCTAAGTGTAAAAATCTGACAGAGAAAAAGGGTTTATGTTTAACAGAAAAAGAAAGTGTTTTTAAAAGTAAAGTTTTATTAAAAAAGAAGCATCAAAGAAAATGTAAGTCTGCTGAAGAGAACATAAGAAAGTGGTAAGAAGAAGAGAAAAATGTTTTGGAGATCTATAAAAGGAAGAAGAAGAAAGTGTATAAGAAAAAATATGGAGACAAAATTATAGAAATAGGATCAGATTCCTTTTCCTTTTTGTCTTAAAGATTTATTGGAATATATTTTGCAAAAGTTCACTGCAGTCCTTATTATATAGAAATAGGGTCAATATGAGTTGAACAAATGCAATTTTATATTCCTTAAGTCTTTATTTTCCTCATTGATTACTGCTTTTTATTGATCATTTTAGTTATTCATATGAGGAATATGCTGATGACATAGGTATTCATAGTTGGTGCAAGAATGATCTTAAACAGAAAATCAACATTCTCTATCAAGTGTTCCAAGAAGCAGAACTTAAGATGAACCTTTCCAAAACAGAAACTATGATCTGGAATTGGTATGATGATGGCATATACCCTGAATCTATCATTAAAATTCAGAACATGGAATTAATAATTAGTTATATTATTTACATTATTCGGACCTCATCTTCATTGCCATATTCACAATGTTTCAGCCATTGTATGTTCCAACATTTCCTCAGGAGATTTGAATTTTGAATCGAACTCTTTATTTCGTCCACCAAGGTAGATTGTTCTAGTTCCACGTGCCATGCCTCTTCCAGATGTTTCAGTTACTACCCTTTAACTCAGCTCTTCAAGTTTTTGGTTCACTACTGCTGTAGCCTGGTATTGAACTTACAACTCTTTGAGTCTAGTCACTGGACTTAACCAACATCTTTATCTATTGGTTAGAGCCAGTGATTAGAGTTCAATACTACGCTACAGCAGTGGTGAACCAAAAACTTGAAGAGCTAAGTTAAAGGGAAATAAGTGAGATATCCGAAAAAGGCATGACACATAGAACTAGAACAATCTACCCCAATCACCTAAAGAAGGCTGGAGCAGACAACGACCGAAACATTGTGAATATGGCAATGAAACATTGGGAAGATGGCAATGAAACTGAGGATAACAGTCCAAATAATGTAAACTCAAATATATAGACAGATATCAAATTAATAAATTTTAAATACTTCAAATGTATACATTAGTTATAACGAATTTAAGATGGGAGATAAGGAAGGTTCTTGTACGATCACCAAAGTTAAGCTTTATCCCTCTGCATATGACTTCATTTGCTGTATAAAAAGATCATCCTGCCACTGATGGTGACTCTGATCCCTGAATAATAGTCTGTTTGGATATCATAGTTGTGTTTTCATATCCTTCTATGGCAACAGAAAACAACTTTGAGTGAAATTGACCTTTCAAATAGCACAAATGAGAGGTCTTGAAAAAGAATGCAGTGGAAAGGAAAATAATATTAATAATGCAGAGTGCTAAAGGTTAAGCAATGTTGAGCCTGGTCAGTACTTAGATGGGTGACAGCTTGGGAATATCAAATGCTTTAAGTCTGGATGTTGAGGTGGTGTAATAGATAATGGCTCAAAATTATTAATTAAGTAGTCTAATTCCAATTCATGTTGGGTTCATTATATTCACTTATGCACAAATGACCTTAGGAAAGATATGAATCCACCACTTCTTCCCCCAGCTATATGTTAATTAGTAAGACTTGTATCTAAAAATTGAAAATTTGAAGATATTTTTAAGTTGTTGAGTGATTAGAATGCAAATGTAAAATGTAAAAAAGTTGAAAACTGGTCATAGGTCACTCAAAAAATAAATTAAAGACATTGGTAAAATAAACCATGCTTTAAAAATATTTTGAAAAGAGATTTGAGAGAAATTGCAAGTGTAACAAGAAAGACCTACATTTTCCAGATTTGTTCATAAAATAACAGTTGATGTTGCAGTTATTTTATTTTCATAATAAAACCTGACTCTCAAAACAATTTGTTTTCACTGTTTTTAATAAGGAAAGGCATAAAAGATAAAAATGTTACCAATATTAATTGTTTAATACCAGTTTCTTTGTGAAAACATTGAGTTACCTAATAATTGATTTTTACAGTTTATCAACCCTTTGTGAGTTATTTAAAACCAAAAAATAATTTTTGAATTGTAAGAATAATTCTTTATGTTATTTTATTGAAATGTTTTTCAAAATAACAATAACTTTTCCAGATACAATTCTAAATAACTAATCCATAGCTGGGGAGGAGGAGATGGATATATACATTTCCTAAGGATATTTGTGCATAAGTAAATGTAATGAACTTGACTGGAATTCAAATTTAGCTCTCCAATTTCATATTCCAAAATGCTATTCATTACAACACCTGCACATCCACAAATTGCATAATAAAATCAGACATAATGTAATAATTCAGGGGTGGGGGGCTAGTTTATTATTTAATAACAATAGAAATTTGATTCTGCACTTCATTTCCTATAGAAACTTATTAATATTAATGTAAATATATCTTGAAGTTTTTCCCAACACCATTTGGTTAATATCAGTTTTATTGTGAAAACATTGATTTGCATAATAAAATCTGACATCATGTAATAATTTGGGGGTTATCATTTTATTACTTAATAACAATAGAAAACCGATCCCCCATTTTTATGCCCAGAAGAAATTTATATTAATATTTAATGTAAATAGATCTTGAAAATTTTCACGACTTCAATTGTTTAATACCAATTTTATTGTTAAAACGTTGATTTGCATAATAAAATCTGACATACTTTAATAATAGTGAGGGGATCAGTTTATTACTTAATAGCAATAGAAAATAGATCCCCCATTTTATGTCCAGAATAAATTTACATTTATATTTCATCTTAACTTATATATCATGAAAATATTACCAATATTGGTTAGTTAATACTAGTTTTACTGTGAAAACATTGATTTGCAAAATAAAATCTAATGAGTGTAAATAGCACTTTGCATCTGAAAAATGTTGTATTTGTTCCTGGTCTTCATGCACATTTAAAAAAAAAAAGAATTATTGAATTGTCGGTCTTTGTGACCTTCACTTCCATTTCATTTATTATAAATGAATTTAATTAATTTTCTTTTCTCTTACTTTTCGTAATTGTTTTAAAATTCTTCATTGATTATTTTTTTATGAAATTCTCATTTATTTATTGATTCCATAAACTCTAGAGATTCATTTATTTAATTTGTTTTTGCTTTGTAGACTTTTATTTCTCTTAATCATTTTTAATTGTTTCTCCCCAAGTAAGGAGATAATGCTACTAAGGCACAAGAAGTTACTGAGAGTGAAAGAAAAGGAGAAAAGGGTAGTGAGAAGAAAGAATAATAACAGAAAAGGATTCGGGAAGGCATTGATTGACGGATTTGTATTTTACAGCTTATCAACCCTTTCAAAGGATATTTAAAGTCAGAAAATAATTTTAGATTGTAAGGATTTTGGGGGAGAAATAATAATGATTTATTGATAAAAGTCTTTGCTAATTAAGCCATAAGTGGAGGGAGAAGTGGTGTATTCATATCTTTCCCAGATGTATTTGTACAAAAGTAAATATTACGAACTTGACTAGAATTGGAACCCGGCTCTCTGATTTCCAATTCAGAGCCATTATCCAATATGCTAACCATCCATCCAAGCTTACAGCACCTGGTATTCTTAAGCAGTCACACATCTAGGTACTGACCAGGCTCAACATTGCTTAACTTTAGTGATTGTATGAGAACTGCTGTTTCAACATGATCTGGCTGTAAGACTTCAGGAAGACAGAGATGGTGATTGACATATATATATATATATATATATATATTATATATATGAAAATAGATCATCTAAGTGTACAGTTAATAGAGTAGGCTTAAAATAATTTAAAAGAATATGTTTATTCACATTATGCTCTCTGCATTACTGTTTTGAGAATGATGTACACAAAATATTAACAACATACAAAAACAGCATTAGCTAGCTCTATGATTGATAATGCTGAGATTGACCATTTCCATACAGGAAATATTTATCATTTATTGACCAATCAGTTAGATTTACATGTTGGCTGGAATTTATAAAATCTTTCTCTTAAAACGGTTTTTCATGAAAATAGTCTTCTACAGTCCACTAGCTCTTTCTTGTATTGATGGGAGTTTTCTTTTTAACTTTTTGTGTGCAAAGTCAACATCTTGATTACATAATCATTTTCTGTTCTACTGAGATGTGTTATCTATTTTAGTTGTTGCCACTGTTAAAAATTTCAAGTGATATGTTTTCTGTTATTTGGTAAAGTTCCTTGTTTGTGATACAATTACTTAGTAAATTACAGTTTTATCATATCACTCTCAAAACAGATTTATATTAAATTTTAGGCTTATGGCCACATCACTGGAAAATATTCTTCTAAAGTTCATTAACTGTTAATGGTCATTCTAGTATTGTTGCCAGTTGGTTAAATTTGTTTTATTGCTTGTGAATTACAAATATTTCCAGGGCAATGAAAACATTAACAATTTTGGAAAACAATAACACACACACACACACACACACACACACACACACGTAGACACACAGGTACACACACACACACACACACATATATATATATATATATATATATATATACATACATATGACAATCTTCAAAATTTCTACTTTGACATATTTTGCCAAAAGACCTGTGTCATTTGTAAAGAACTAAATCTATATTGGCAAAATAAACATGAAGTGGTTGAACGTGTTACTTTTACTTGCATTGTATCATTATGGGAATTAGATTTTAACTAATTTCAACTCAGCTTTTATATTCGTTTATTTTTTCTCAAGGTTTATGTTTGCCATATATATTTATCATTCCATGAGATTCTCACTCAACTTTACTTACATATGTGTGCACACACACACACACACACACACACACACACACACACACACACACACACACACACACACACACACACATATATATTTATACACACACACACACATATATATATTTACACACACACACACATATATATAAATATATGAATTTCATTTCTTCTTAACATCAACAAACTGATAAGAGAACTGGAAAGGATTATTATAAAAATGAATAGACAATTCAACAAAACATGTTTGAATGAAGATACACTGCCTAAATATACACACACATACATATGTATGTGTGTGTGTGTGTGTGTGTGTGTGTGTGTGTGTGTGTGTGTGTGTGTGTGTAAATATATATGTGTGTGTGTGTGTATAAATATATATGTGTGTGTGTGTGTGTGTGTGTGTAAAAATATATGTGTGTGTGTGTGTAAATATATATATGTGTGTGTGTGTGTGTGTGTGTGTGTGTGTGTGTGTGTGTGTGTGTGTGTGTGTGTGTGCATGCCCACACACTTGCATATAATTATAAAGATAACAGCAGCGTAAGACGTTACGGTTCAAACTGGAAGAGAAAAAAAAAAGAAATCTATAATCTATACCACCTGCTCCATTCTAAACTAATACCCTTACAAACATCACATCACACACACTCACCCTATCCATCTCTCCAGTCAGTTGTTTCTCTTTCCATAAACATAATTTCTTTATTTTGTATGGCAGAAGTTCAAAAATGTCTTCTGCCATTGTACTTTTTAGCAATATTTCTGTACTAAACACATCAAAATGGAGTGTTATGTATTCATTAATTATTCTATACTAAACACGTCAAAATGGAGTGTTATATAATTAATAATTAATTCTATACCAAACACATCTAAATAAGGTGTCATACATTTATTAATAATTCTATACTAAATTCATAAATCTGTAAGTTTCATTTTTATTAATATTTTTCTAATAAACCCATCAAAATCAAGTGCTGCATGTTTATTAATAATTCAATTGTAAACCTGTCAAAATGGAGTGTTATATATTTATTTTTTAAAATAAAAAAAATGCACCCATTTTCTTAGATGTGATGTGCCATGGGGAATTTTTTTTAAATCCTTTGTTCCTTAAATTGCTTGTTCCTCCCTCTTCCTCTCCTCTTTTCCGCATGCACACATGACTAACCTCTTCTGTCAAAATTTTATTTTTTCTGTGATTATTTATGGGGAGGAAAACATTGAAAAACAAAATAAAAGTAAAAAAAAAAAGAAACTTTTCTTGCAAACAAGCATAAAAGCAAAAATACAGACTGATACAATGAAGGACAAACACATGTGTACTGATATGCACAGAGCTCATTCTTCATTCTATATAAATGTACACAAATCTACGTATACATCTTCACTCACTTACACACACACACACACATATATATATATAAATATATTCATGAATACACTCTCAAAGAGATTCCAAAATAAATACAGTCATCCTTTGATTTTTGCTGCATGGTGAGTTTCCTGAAATCGCCCCCCACCCATATATTCTTATAGACTTGAAATTATTGGCAGATTACTTATAATTCTTCTTTTATGTGCTGTGTTCCTTCAGGGCATGAGTGACCATGGCTATCTGCAACTTCCTATCCTTTCTAGCTCTTGGCAATATTTGTCTTTTTACTATAATTTCTAGTCTCTCTTTTGTCTTCTATTTACACACGCATGTTAGATAGGTTACTCACTGTTTCCCTTGTATCTCTTGCCTTCAATGTGTCCTATGAGTGTCAAATTCTCCAAGCCAACTTTCCTTATTATGCATTCTTTCTGATGATATGTATAAGTTCCTGTTGCAAATTGGAGAGACCAAAATTAAGCAAGTACAACAATTGAAATATCTGGGAAGGGTTTTAACAGGGGACAGAATATGTGACACTGAAATCTGGACTTGCACTGGAATAGTAAAAATGTGTTTCAAAAACTAAAAAAAGTATAAAAAATCAGGAGAATTCTATTACAAACAAAGAGTACTGAATGTCTAAGTAATATCAGTCTTCCTATATGGCAGGAATGCAGGACCATCTCCACACAGATGAAGAAGAAACTTGAGTTGATAGAGATGTAGGTTGCTAGAAGGATGCTGAGAATACCATGAGCAATCACAAAGTTTTATAGAAAATGGAAACAAAATGACACATACTTCACATCAAAAAGAGACAGTTGAAATTTCTATGGTACATAATGAGGAAAGAGGGCTTGGAAAATTTGACACCCACAGGACATATTGAAGGCAAGAGGGACAGAAGAAAACAACACATTACCTATGTAATGAGCCTCTGTAAATGGATGGCAGAACAGGGTTTAGGAAAGATAACAAAATAACAAACTTTACAAAGAGCTGCAAATGACAGAAAATTGAGGCAAGCCATGATTACTGTTGTGGCCTTGTTAGGGCCAGAAATAAAGACACAAGAGAGGAACTGAGTTAAACAAATATATTAACAGAAACAGTAATACAAACATATACAAACAAGAGTGTTACAGCAAGAATGTTCGGTCCAACTGTCAGAGCTGGCTTCTGGAAGCTTCCCTCTCCAAAAGGCAGTATCTGCTCCTATTTATAGCTTGGAGAGTCCATGCATGCATGGGTAAATTATCATAACAATTACCTATGTGCTGAATGGACAAGGTACATAAAAGAAGAGCAACAACAACAAACTTAATGTAGTAAACTTGACATCTATTTTTAACTATTTACACTCTTTACATCTGGAATAGTGTCCTCATCTTTGTTATTATATTAGATCTGGGTAGCTTACAGGGAATTCTAAACTGAACCTTTATTTAATCTACAGGGGTAGACTGCTCCCATTACACTACCCATGCCTAGGAATATCACATCTAGTACTAAAAATAAGAACTATTTCACAATATCTCTAGATATTTGCAGCGAAACAGGAACAGTCTATCCTGTAGATTAAATAAAGGGTTCAGTTCAGAACACCCTGTAGGTTACCCATTACAATATACACCTGATGATGGTCAAACATTATGATAACAACAACAAAGATGAGGACAATAGTTCAAATGTAAATAGTGTAAATAATTGAATTTACAAGAATTCAGACAGAAATTTATTTTCAGAAAAATTATTTACAACTAGTAAGTTAATAATTGTGCATAAGTCTAATTTGCACTTTAAAGTAGTTATAATTGGTTAAAGATTGTTATTAGTTTTACTGATCAAATTGAAAGTGCCTTATTGCTGGTATTGCAAATCATTATGACTGAGAATCAGGAGCCAGAGTCCCGAAGACAGTTCAATGTTATATTCAACTTTGCGATGACAACAGCCCCAGGCTGTATTGGCCTCTACCTTTTCCCTTGGACAACCGATCTCTCATAAAATCCTGTCCTGGCCTATATACTGGACACTCATTTGACCACAAAACATGGGAAGTTGCAACATGGCAACATTGTGGGGAGAGCATCTTCACATGCATTCATTGCAATCAAGACTGTTACACCTGTGTGGGCCTGTCCAGCCATAATAGATGATGTACTGCCATCAGCAGCTAAGGCATAACTCTTTGGGCACAGATCCATTGTCTCTCTAGACTGATAGATGCCACACACATGACTGTGTAGGGAGCTTGATCTGCATTGTGTTTTCTATACTTTTGCCCTTGTGTCAAATCTAAAGTATCTTTAGTAAATAAATATTCCCTGCCTCTGAGATGCACTGGTCAGTAAATTAGCTTAGTAAGTAAATTAGTTAATAAATTATGACTAAATTGTGCATTTCATTGAAGAAACTTTAGGTGATAGAAATGTGGTTGTACAAAAGGATGCTGAGAATACCATGGACTGAACATGTGAGCAATCACAAAATTCTAGAGAAAATTGAAA